AAACTTAACGTACCGGTGTCAAAACTGTGCGTACTGCTGTCGAGATTCAATTTCCGCTCTCCAAAAGGGACAACAGAACGTCCTACGATCAATTTCTACCGTACCTGGAGTCAAAACGTAACGCACCATCGGCAAAACTCTCTGGACGATCCATTGCTGTGAATGGGAAGGCGAGGAGACTCGCGGATCGATGCCCGCCCTATCAGCCATACAAAGCGACCAGCCGACCAGAACCTCCCCAATGTCAAACAATGGAGCGTACGTTACTTTTTGAGCAAGGACGTTAAGTTTTGACGCGAGTGCCTTGAATTCGCTGTAAAGGACACCAGCAATGTATTCTATCAGAATGTTTGTTTCGGTGGAGGGCGTATGGCACGTATGACGATTTTAAAAATAATTAATGGCGCTATATCTGGCCGATGGTGTGCTAGTGCCAATAAACTGAAGTTATTTCTTTATTAAATTTGTTCATGAACTATTTTTACAGTTTTGCAGATCATGCACTGAGGACCTCTTTTCCTCAACGTCTACTCAGACAACTAACACGATGTCGGTTCGGTTCTCGAGTGGATATGTATTTGCCGGGAGTTTCAACAGTGATCAACCAGGCAAAGTCCATGCAGACTTAATCCTATGAAAGCCATCCAACAGCCCCTAGAGATTATTTCATGTGAGATATTTGGAGGAGGTGCTGATCGAAAGCACAAAAATTCCCCCCCCCCCCCCACCATTCTTCCCCTGTCGCCATCGTTAAACGGGGAATTGCACATTTCTGCACCACAATAGATGCCTCTGCGATCACGGTTCCTGCCTGTTGGGNTGCGATCACGGTTTCTGCCTGTTGGGTCCATTTTCCCACATTTCCCATTTCCTTTACGCACCCTAAAAAAATCAGATTGTTATTTTGAGAAGTCACTTCTTGACTTATGTCATTAGGAAGCGGATTTTTATAAGCTAATAACCCCTAAAATATGCACATGCATATGCGCTTAAAAATTGGAAAATATGCATGAAAAAAGCACGAAAATGGGAAAATCTGCAAAATCATACTTTTTTAAACGTAACACGAATATTTCAGGTGAAGGAAATTAAAGGTACATTTCATGCCTCTACTGAGTATAGTTGATCTATTCTTGTGACAACCAGCGGCGAAGTCAGGAATTCGCCAATGGAGGGCTATGGGAAACGAACTGAGTCTATTTTTCGAAACTCTTCGAGAGGGATGGTGATAGCGGATAGATTTAGAACAGAGTTTCGGGAGATTTGCCACTCCAGCCAGCGCATAGCAGCCTGAAAATTGTCATAGATTGCTCATAAATAAATATATTGTTGGAAAACTCTTACTCTTTTGATAAAAATGACCGAAACATGCATAAATATGCACATGTTGAGAAAAGTGTAAAAACATGCATTTTTATGCATTTAACATATGGCAGAAATCGCTTCCTATACCAATAAGACACGATCCTATCTGGGTTGTATCTTCCTAGAAGGCTGCAAAAAAAAAACACTGCATCCCTCGTCAGCATTCAAAAAGAGTGCAGGGCTTTGCATCCGGTCGAAAAACCCCTCTACGAGCCAATCGAGCGAGCATAAGTTGGAAAGATTTGGCGAACATAACATGAGATTTTCGCAATTAACACTCATATCTATGAACGAAAATGGCCATAAAATGGCTGACGGATGTGATCAGCTCAAGGCAATAAGCAACAATTTTCACCCATGCACGACGCACGTACTCCTGAAGCAGCCAACGAGGCTAAACTCGGGGCTGCAATTCCCTTTTCAACCTTTTTAGCAAAGTAGTAACAGAAATTAATCGTAAGTAAATACTTATGATCAAAATTTTTGGATACTATTGAATCGCAGTCAGCATTATCGCTTGTCAATTAAATTTCTGCATCGACGCAAGAAATTCTTTCTGACGAAGCATTTAGCTCTGACAACTCTAAACGATGAGAAAATCTTTGTGATCGGTCGGTAAGGACTTGTTGGAGCATAGACCAGAGTTATAGATTGTAGTCGTCAGCCATGCATCCATCCTTGGCGCTTGTCGAGTCGGCCTTCTTGTCCTTTTCCGTGCGTTAAGTTTCGAAAAAGGTCCTTGAAGATATGAAAATCGCACTTTGAGTTTCGCTTTTCGTACGTTAGCAATGAAATCGGATGTTAAGTTTTGTGAAAAGATTGCAGAGTTTAGTGATTTGTTTGCTAAAAGACTTCCGGCCTAACCCGGTTATAAATCGACTACAGGGGATCCATGGGAGTTCACGGTATGTTATTTGACACCAAACCAATTCTCGCAAGGAACGTTCCTGAAATCAGATCAGTGTTTAAAAAAATCAAATAAAATTTGATCTGGCACGTTTGATTCTCTCTGATTATTCATCTTTGATTTTTCATCATTTTGATTATTCGTTACCACTATTATTTTCATGGCCGTTGTCCACGTCATTAATTAATGCCATTAATTAATCATTAATTGATTCCTGTTAAGCAAGGGATTGAATTTATATTGCGAATGAGTTTCACAGGTATCGCCTGCACAGTTATCAGCCATTAAATATTAATTGGAAACCGCAATTATCTCAAAAACGGCTATTAAAAAAAAAAATCTCGTTCATGTTTCCGATTCCTCGATGCTAGGTGAACGAGCCTGCTCCTCGAACGTTACTCTTCAGCAAAAGGGGAAAAATGCTCTTAAAGCGAAAAATGCGACTCATCCCTGTCTTGCATCGTCTTTCTTTGAAAGATTCCTAGTTTGATGCAAAACGGTTAAAACGCCATCAATCCTGTTTCAAGCCTCGTTCTCGTTTTGCGAAACACTCTCGAACTTAAGAGTTGCCAGACCGGAACAGCTGATCACTGTCATACCATCTGTCCACTTTCTTTTTCTCCACCAAGTTTTTCCACCTGCCAACAAACAAGTGGCTAGACAGCGGATGATCTCGAAAAGTACTTGAGAATCTCGGGTGAAACGCGCAACCGGCGTTTCTCAGGGGAAAGCAGTTCTCAGGGGAAAGTGCATAGTACGAACGCCGTATACTCGGAGATACGGGACCGACAGGCCGGTTGCCGTCCGGAAATCATAGCTATTACTTCTCAGAGGGACCTGCAAATCTGACAGAGGCGCCAAGTTTTTGAGAGGAAGAAGAGTCCTTTTTTTTCGGTCATAACTTACAGCAGAGTAGATGCAAAAACAGTGAGCTGCAGTGAGCCCTGCCGCCAAATTTTCTGGTAGCATTACTCTCGGAACTACCAACATTCCAAATTACCAGTTACAAATTACTTCTTGGGATTACCAATTATGTAAACAGTTTCCAAAATTTTGCAGGTTTCTCTTCATTATCAACTTGCTCGCGAAAATGACTCCAGCATCGAGTGCTTTTGCTCTTAACAAGGGCTTTAATCTCGTGGTTAAGTTCATCGATGATCGGCTTTTGGGGCTGGGTCTTTCTTACGGCGAAACAAGCGACGAAGTTTCTTGCCACCTTCAATTGCAGACAGAGCATCCTCTGAGAGACTATAGGGCTCATCGGAGGGCGTCATCTTGGGGACGGGTACCTCCTGGGCGATTCGAATCGCTTTGGCGACGAGAGGTCCCTCCCTCCTCGCGCTGGGGCCTGCAGAGAAGGAGCGGTTGTCAAGGCCAGCCTTGCACCGTCCGACGGCGTGCCCGTGTTGGAGGCGCTTAGAACTTTGGACGATTCTGGGTTGAAGCGACGAACTCTTCGACCTTCAGGCGGAGGCAGCCTATTTTTTTTATCGCGTCGTTCTTGAGGCGCTCGCGAGCGTTTGGGGAATCAACAGCTTTCACAAGGATGGGAAGGGGCACGCCGGTCTTTGTGCTGCGCATTCTGATGAGATCGTTTTCCACCAGTTTTTCCGCCTGGCAACAAACAAGTGGCATATATAGCGGATGATCTCGAAAAGTACTTGAAAATCTCGGGTGAAACGCGCATGAAAAGCAGTTCTCAGGGGAAAGTGCACAATGCAAAAGCCGTTCAGATGCGCCTACCACCTTCGAGCATGAGGTTCATCAAAGTAGAGCATGAGGTTCATCCAGGTAGAGCACGAGGTTCATCCAGGTAGACGGTCTTAGATTCACGTTCGATCTGTAGGATTCCTTTTGCCATTGATGGGGTTTTTCCACAGTATTTTCTTCTATGGACTCTGGTGCACGTGGTATACTCGGAGATACGGGACCGACAGGCCGGTTGCGATCCCGACTGGTTGCCGTTCGGAAATCATTGCTATTACTTCTCAGAGGGACCTGCGAGTCTGACAGAGGCGCGAAGTTTTTGCCTGGATCGAGGGGGAGACCTGGTGAGAATTCACGGCCGAGAGGAGCAGAAATTCGTGGAGGAGAACGTCGTCCCGAGAAATTCTTGGATCGGGCGTACACGACAGGTTCGCTGCTTGAGGATATGGGGAATTACGCCTTTTTTCACGGGACTCCGACCGACTTATCAGCTGTTCGGAATCGAGGAGAACTGGATATTTTTTTTCCGGGAAGTCCCGACGGAGGCGTTCTTCTGATGCCTCGTCTGTACAAGAACGTGGACTGTTCCGCGAAGAGAACCCTCTTCTGCGGAGCCTCGGAGACCATGACGTTCGAGGAAGCATCCCGATACTGTGCCGACGTTCCGGCGGTCTGTAACGGAGGATATCTTCACGATCCTGGGACAAGGGATTTCTTCACTCGGTACCTATCGCATAGTCGAGTGAGCTACTCGAGAAATATTTTCACTGGTGCCGTTTACACCCATTCGGCACGCTTGCGAATCGCGACCGCGACATAGGAACACAATTACGATTCGCACCCGTACGACCGTTTCTTACGTGACATTGCACGACTGAACTCTTTATCTAAGTCCCGAATACGTCCGACAGGGGCCAACCGGGGAGATACCGGGTGGGCCTGAGATGGAATTCGGAATCGGGGCAATGAGAGACAGAATCCTGAGAAGCTTTCAACCCGACGACCGAATGGCACTGTGATGAACATCCGACTGAGGGCGGAGGGGATTGCGTCTCGCTTATTCGTCTCTTCCTGGATTCTCTATTTCTCTTCATATCAACATGTGTTCATATGCAAGAAGGCCTCTCCTCCGCGATCCTTTTCGAGACGGAGGGAGCTTCAGGTCCACGTCCGGAATGTAGTACTTTATAAAATATGTATTTTTAATTTTTTCTTCCGAAGGTGCTCTAAGCTCTTTTTTGCATTGCAGATCGAATTGCACGTGAAATCACATATTCACATTCTCTCTAATGATGAAATCTGGATGACATGAGAGCGATCGCGACGAGGGGGAAAAGCCAGCACAAATGCATGGACGATCGTGTTGCATTATGTGCAGCAAATTGTCTTCATGCGTCGTGGCAACAGGCCTGCCTACTTATCTGATGCTGAAGTTCTCTTTGGTCTACCGTATTTCCAAAAACCATTAAAAAGTACTTTTCTTGCCATCCTGTTTTGGAACGATAAAGAAATGAGCCTGTCGGTTCGCCTTTTTTTCACTTGAGCGGTTTATAGTTAAACCTAGCGATGCTTCTCTGGAGGATAAGTTTTGACTCCCGCCCCATGCGTAAGAAAAATGACTTGTAGCAAAACGAGGAATCCCATATTTTCCCATCCCGTTCTGAACTGCAAATATGCGTTGCATAGGAACGATACGTCTTAAAGGCTTCGTTGCATACCAATACGTCACGAAGCGCAGAGCATTACACTGAACACCCGAAAAGACGGCTTTCACAAATTAGCAACGACACGTGTAATACCCTCCTCATAATTGGTTCCGAGCAGGTCCTTGCTTCAGCCGCTCCTGCAGCTGTTTCATCTCTCTCACGCAGCAAGGTGAGCGAGGAGTTAACGAGGAGTTACGAGGAGACGAGGAGTAGCGGGAGAAGGAGGAGTTAACGAGGAGTTATCGAGGAGTAAACGAGGAGTTAGCGAGGAGTAAGCGAGGAGTTAGTGAGGCCTCCCCACTCACGCAGCTCAACGAAAGGAGACGGATTTGCCAGTCGAAGCGAGGTCGCCGCCGCTCGTTGCGATCGCGGGTCTTGTCGTCGGCTGCTGCTCGAGATCGAATTTTGAAGGCCGAATCGGCTTGGAATTTCTTAAATGTCTCTCCATGGGGAAGGCTGTTGAAAGGCGACATGCATGAGATCCATTGAACTCTGAACTGATCTGGTTTCACAATTGGGCGTCTGTAGGAAAACGATCATCTCCGTCAAATCGAGTCCAACATGGGGAATACGATGAAATCAGATTAGTTTAAGCCTAACCAACCTGGTGCGTGTCATCCATGGCTACACGGAAAGGGGATTAGTGTCGGCGTCAAATAGTCTGTTCATCATTGGCTTCTACCGACAAATCCCTATTACGTTCTCAGACTCTACTAATAATGCGATACAAATCCTCCCAACATTCATTTGACTGAGACCTTCGAAGGCCGAAGAGGAAAGCCTTGAAAATCGAGGAGGCCTTGAGATCTCACCGGGCAGCCATGCAGCCGCTTCATGCAGCCGCTTCATGCAGCCGCTTGTGGTGATCGGTTACGGACCGACCGCGAAGCGATCGCAACCAGCGGCGGCGACTGCACCGCGGAAACGGCGCATAACGGAATCTCACGAAACGGCTCCTTGCCCTTCCCTTGCCCAAGCGGCGCTGGATTTCGGCGTCATCATTCAACCTTGCTCGATGAGGGTTAGGCCGAGAGGGAGCCTTGCTAACCCTGTCCTCCTCGTCTCATCTTGCAATGTAACAATGACACACGCATTCATTTTTCAAAATGCGGATCAAAGAACGAATGTGGAAAAAAACGTTAAAAGAAGCAGGACGCTCGGAAAACGAACTGACGTCACCCACGACGCCATCCATGCCTTAGATCCGATAGTTCTACGATGGGCAGTGACCTCTCTGCCCATTCGCGTACCGGCTCGTATGAATATTAAGTTGACGTAAATCGTTAACGTAAAGGAAGAAGAGATGCTCTCAAGAACGGTGTCCGTATCGTGAGCTGCAGGACAATTTAAAGTGAGAAACGAGTTTATATGCATGCCAAACCTCGTCAAAAGCTTTAGTGACATCAAAAAGGAATATCATATTTTTATATATTTTTATTTTTTTCCTCGGATCACCGCGTCGTCGAACGAACTAATGAGAAGGGCATGAATTACGTCGGAAGCATGACTGTGAAGGAGCGAGGAGGTTATGGGATTCGAAATAATCATTGGAGCGAGAAGTGAGGATCCTTTCTAGGGGTTTTCGAAGGGAGCCGAGGAGACCGATAGGGCGAGAGGAAGCGTCGTAGATGAGGGGGAATTGCTCCAAACCATTTGCGGAAATGTCATCAGGGCCAGGGGGGTTCGCTTCCATCGCGGGCCTCGAGCTCTTCGAGGGCAATCTCACTCGAGAGTTTCCTGAGCGGGTGAAAGTGATCGCGAGGTCAGAGAGGGAGAAGTGTCCATTTTTGCTTTCGGTCATAGCTTCCAGCAGAGTAGATGCAAAAACATGCTTTACCATCATCGCTGCAGTGAGAGCTGCCACCAAATTTTCTTTTATCCTTCCTCTTGGAACTACCAACATTCCAAATTACCAGTTACAAATTACTTCTTGGGATTACCAATTATCCGAACAGTTTCCAAAAGTTAGCAGGTTTCTCTTCGTTACCAAGTTGCTCGCGAAAATGACTCCAGTATCGAGTGCTTTTGCTCTTAACAAGGGCTTTAATCTTGTGGTATTGATGATCGGCTTTGGGGCGGGGTTGCGGCGAAACAAGCGACGAAGTTCCTTGCCATCTTTAATTGTAGACAGAGCTTCCTCTGAGAGACTATTGGGCTCATCGGAGGGAGTCATCTTGGGGACGGCTACTTCCTGGGGGATTCGAATCGCGGTGGCAGGGATTGGACGAATAAGTTGGGGAAGAGGTTGAAATTGGTAGCGGTTTGGGGGTGTTGCTGGGTGAAGGATTCGAGCTGAGGGAGGAGCTGCCAGAAATGGAAGGCGGCGTTCTTGAGTGAGCAGGTGAGAGGAGCAGAGTCGATGTGAGTGGCAGGTGAGAGTAGTGGCTTGGAGAGGGGTGAGAGAAGTGTGGGAGAGTGTGGGGGCCTTCGTTCTCAACTTTCTTCTACCCGGTACTTTTATATGCTGGGGAGAGGAAATCTAAGAAAAAAGGTCAGACGACGGAAAGGATATAAAAGAGATGAGTGAGGAACGTGAGTCGCGCAACGCTGTAATAAAGACAATTCAGCGTCGTTGCAAGCAATTCAGACGGAAGAGGTGATTGATGCGAGCAGGAGAGCGTGGGAAGGAAAAGGAAAGCGCAAAGCCTCAAGAAAGGCAATTAAAAACCGCCGGCAAAAGTGCGAACAGTCAGAACGATTGGGGAAAAAGTAAAAGCCTAGAAGGAAGAAGGTGATGAGAGGCGCACTGGCCTTTAAAAAGGCATTCGAATTCTGCCGCGATGGCAGCAGAGAAAGGAACAACGAAGGAGACTCCCTTCACTAAGGCAATTAGACGCTGCCCGGAACGAAAGGCCAATTCGGTGATACGAAGAGACAAACAGGCGCCTGGAGGTAGACACCTGTTGAGGATTCACAACTGCAGCTCATGCTGAGGTATGGCTTGTCGAACGAGTCTTCCACTATTCTTTGGGCCAGCATTGTCTGGAGTCTATCTAAACTGGGCCACCTCTTCGGACAATTCTGGTGAGAAATTCCAATATCTTCTCCCAATTTATCTCTAGGAACAGCAATGCATACTGCATGAAAAGCACAGGGGACGTGCTCCAATGGGATCAGGGGGTGANGCTGCTGCTCGAGATCGAATTTTGAAGGCCGAATCGGCTTGGAATTTCTTAAATGTCTCTCCATGGGGAAGGCTGTTGAAAGGCGACATGCATGAGATCCATTGAACTCTGAACTGATCTGGTTTCACAATTGGGCGTCTGTAGGAAAACGATCATCTCCGTCAAATCGAGTCCAACATGGGGAATACGATGAAATCAGATTAGTTTAAGCCTAACCAACCTGGTGCGTGTCATCCATGGCTACACGGAAAGGGGATTAGTGTCGGCGTCAAATAGTCTGTTCATCATTGGCTTCTACCGACAAATCCCTATTACGTTCTCAGACTCTACTAATAATGCGATACAAATCCTCCCAACATTCATTTGACTGAGACCTTCGAAGGCCGAAGAGGAAAGCCTTGAAAATCGAGGAGGCCTTGAGATCTCACCGGGCAGCCATGCAGCCGCTTCATGCAGCCGCTTCATGCAGCCGCTTGTGGTGATCGGTTACGGACCGGCCGCGAAGCGATCGCAACCAGCGGCGGCGACTGCACCGCGGAAACGGCGCATAACGGAATCTCACGAAACGGCTCCTTGCCCTTCCCTTGCCCAAGCGGCGCTGGATTTCGGCGTCATCATTCAACCTTGCTCGATGAGGGTTAGGCCGAGAGGGAGCCTTGCTAACCCTGTCCTCCTCGTCTCATCTTGCAATGTAACAATGACACACGCATTCATTTTTCAAAATGCGGATCAAAAAAAGAACGAATGTGAAAAAAAAGCGTTAAAAGAAGCAGGACGTTCGGAAAACGGACTGACGTCACCCACGACGCCAAGAGCCAAAGAGCGGTGTCATTCGCGAACTGGCTCGTATGAATATTAAGTTGACGTAAATCGTTAACGTAAAAGAAGAAGAGATGCTCTTAAGAACGGAGTCCGTATCGTGAGCTGCAGGACAATTTAAAGTGAGAAACGAGTTTATATGCATGCCAAACCTCGTCAAAAGCTTTAGTGACATCAAAAAGCAATATTATGCTTTTTTTTTTTTTTTTACCTCGGATCACCGCGTCGTCGAACGAACCAATGAGAAGGGCAGGAATAACGTCGGAAGCATGACCGTGAAGGAGCGAGGAGGTTATGGGATTTATGGGATTATGGGATGAGGATTATGGGATTCCAAATAATCATTGGAGCGAGAAGTGAGGATCCTTTCTAAGAGTTTTCGAAGGGAGCCGAGGAGACCGATAGGAAGCGTCATAGATGAGGGGGAATTGCTGGAAACTATTTGCGAATCTCACTCGAGAGTTTCCTGAGCGGGTGAAAGTGATCGAAGAGGTCAGAGAGGGAGAAGAGTCCATTTTTGTTTTCATAGCTTCCAGCAGAGTAGATGCAAAAACCTGCTTTACCATCATCGCTGCGGTGAGACCAAATTTTCTGTTACCTCTTGGAACTACCAACATTCCAAATTACCAGTTACAAATTACTTCTTGGGATTACCAATTATCTGAACAGTTTCCAAAAGTTAGCAGGTTTCTCTTCATTACCAAGTTGCTCGCGAAAATGACTCCAGTATCGAGTACTTTTGCTCTTAACAAGGGCTTTAATCTTGCGATTAAGTTTCTCGATGATCGGCTTTGGGGCGGGGTTGCGGTGAAACAAGCGACGAAGTTCCTTGCCATCTTGTAGACAGAGCATCCTCTGAGAGACTTTAGGGCTTATCGGAGGGAGTTGTCGGCTATTTCCTGGGGGATTCGAATCGCGGTGGCAGGGATTGGACGAATGAGTTGGGGAAGAGGTTGAAATTGGAAGCGGTTTGGGGGTATTGCTGAAGGATTCGAGCTGAGGGAGGAGCTGCCAGGAATGGAAGGCGGTGTTTTTGAGTGAGCAGGAGAGAGGAGCAGTGAGCAGGAGAGAAGAGCAGTGAGCAGGAGAGAGGAGCAGAGTCGATGTGAGTGGCAGGTGAGAGTAGTGGCTTGGAGAGGGGTGAGAGAAGTGTGTGTGAGTGTGGGGGGGGCTTTGTTCTCAACTTTCTTCTACCCGGTACTTTTATATGCTGGGGAGAGGAAATCTAAGGGAAAAGGTCAGATCGACGGAAAGGGTATGAAAGAGATGAGTGAGGAACGTGAGTCGCGCAACGCTGTAATAAAGACAATTCAGCGTCGTTGCAAGCAATTCAGGCGGAAGAGGTGAATGATGCGAGCAGGAGAGCGTGGGAAGGAAAAGGAAAGCGCAAAGCCTCAAGAAAGAAAATTAAAAACCGCCGGCAAAAGTGCGAACAGTCAGAACGATTGGGGAAAAAGTAAAAGCCTAGAAGGAAGAAGGTGATGAGAGGCGCACTGCCCTTTAAAAAGGCATTCGAATTCTGCCGCGCTGGCAGCAGAGAAACAACGAAGGAGACTCCCTTCACTAAGGCAATTAAACGCTGCCCGGAACGAAAGGCCAATTCGGTGATACGGGGAGACAAGCAGGCGCCTGGAGGTAGACACCTGTTGAGGATTCACAACTGCAGCTCATGCTGAGGTATGGCTTGTCGAACGAGTCTTCCACTATTCTTTGGGCCAGCATTGTCTGGAGTCTATCTAAACTGGGCCACCTCTTCGGACAATTCTGGTGAGAAATTCCAATATCTTCTCCCAATTTATCTCTAGGAATAGCAATGCATACTGCATGAAAAGCACAGGGGACGTGCTCCAATGGGATCAGGGGGTGACTCGCCACAGCGGCTATCTTGATGCCATCTCGCGCCGGTCGAGGGAATTAGAGGACCATCTACAGGGTGGGCCAAAAAGAAAGTTTCACCTTTCATTCTGCTGTGACATTTTCGATACTTAAATCAGGTGTCTGCAATCTGTACCGTTGTTTAGAATGACTAAGCTGCAATGAAATGCACTTTCAAAATTGAAAGTCGGTTAAGAAGTATTTGCACAGTGACGATTTTACGGTGAGAGGTGGCAAACTGCTGCTGCGCGACAAGCCTACCAATACCATTATGGACAGTTTCAGCAGACCGTTCGGAAGAGCGAGGCTCTTGCGGCGCAAATCTGCGTTGACCCCTATCGTTTTGGCTGTCATTTCGAGTTTTTTCGTCTGCCTCTCATTTTTCCTG